TGAGCCCCTTCTAAGAGCTTTGCCTGCCTGTGGAGGGAGCAGATGGCGCATTGTCTCCAGACAGAGAGGGAGGCTTGGGATGGGAGTATTGCAAGAAGGCAAAGATCCCAGGGCTTGGCCTCTTTGGGGCCCTGGAATTATTTTTAAAGCAGGCTGGCCTCAACATTGGCAGAAAAGTTGTTATTAATTTTTGCCTCATAGCAGGTACAGGTTGAGACTTCTTTATCCAGAATTCCAAAATTTGAACTATTCCTAAATCCAAAACTTTTTTCATGGGGGGCTGAGATAGTGACACTTTTGTTTTTTCTGATATACACCAACTTTGTTTCATGCACAAGATTATTGAAAATATTGTGTATAAAATTACCTTCAGATTATCTAGAAAGTGTATACTATTCGCTGGGGTTTTTGTTCCAGGACTCCCCCGGGTACCAAAATCCATGGATGCTCAAGTCCCATTCAATACAGTGGCCTAGTAAAGTGGTGTCCCTTATATAAAATGGTGAAATCAACCTTTGTTTTTGGCATTTATATATTTTTTGAATATTTTCAAGTTGTGGATGCTTGAATCAGTGGAGAAGAAATCCATGGATACGGAGGGCGAACTATATAGGAAACATAAATTAACATTGTGTTTAGACTTGGGCTCCATCTTCCAAAATCCAAAAAAATAAAAATAAATCTGAAACACTTCTGGTCCCAAGCATTTTCTATAAGGGAGATGCAACCTGTACTTGCAAGGGGAAGGAAAGTTACTTTTCCTGCCCATTATTATGGAAATATCCTTAAATATGAAGACAAGGGTCAGCAAGCATAATGCTATCCAACATGCATTTGATGTAACTTATGCTTGAGTAAATGTGCGCAGGAGAGATCGCAAGCAGCCTTTATTACTCCTGGGAGGACTGAATGACTAGCACTGTCATAATATCAATCAATCAGTCAATCAATCAATCAATCAATGACCGTCATAATATTTCTCACAGCTCGATCATTTATTACCCATCATTTCTAAGGAGGTCAGCAACATAGGAGTCTTGGGATTTGTCTGCATTGGCAAGGGCTGCATCCACACTGCAGAAATAATCCGGTTTGACCCCACTTTAACTGCCATGGCACAAGGCCATGGAATTCTAGTGCCACAACAAACTACCATTCCCAGAATTCCGCAGCCTTGTGCCATGGCAGTAAAAGTGGGGTCAAAGTAGATTATTTCTGCAGTGTGGATGCAGTGCAAGATACTCCAGGGGTAGCCCAGAGTATTTTGTCCCTACATCTGTTATATCCTGGTTCTGTTGCAGAATATGCCCGGCGGCGTCCGGACTGGTTGCACCAGAACCGAGGGTTTGGGGCTTGGGGTTTGGAAGCCTGCGATTTGTAGTTGGGTGGGACACCAGAGCACTCTGACAGAGAAAGCCAAATATCTCACAAAACTACAAATCCCAGGATTCCATAGCATGGAGAGCCATGGCAGTTAATATGGTGTCAAACTGCACGATTCGGCGCTAGGCTGCATCTGCACTGCAAAAATAATGCACTTTGAAACCACTTTAACTGCCATGCTGGGATTTGTAGTTTGTTGTGGCACTAGAGGTCTCTCTGACAGAAAAGGCTGAATATCTCACAGAACTATAAATCCCGGGATTCCATAGCATGGAGCTGTGACAGTTAAAGCGGTGTCAACCTGGATTATTTTCTGCAGTGCAGGTGCAGCCAAAATCTAATTTGTGCTGCAGGAATAATCCAGTTTGACACAGCTTTAGCTGTCACGGCTCCATCCTGTGGCATCCTGGGATTTGTAATTTGGTGTGGCACCAGAGCTCTCTCTGACAGAGAATGCTAACTATCTCACAGAACTATAAATCCCAGGATTCCATAGCATTCAGCCATGGCTATTAAAGCAATGTCAAAGTGCATTATTTCTGCAGTGCAGATTAGACCAGAGCCACAGTGCCGAGAGGTTCAAAAGAGGTTCACATGCGCACCTGTGTGTGTCTGTGTCTGTGTGTGTTTTTGTGGACGCAAAATGCCGGAAGGAACGGCTAGGAGGGCTTCAGGGGGGCTTCTAATCCTCCTTTCTCTCCTTCTCTCTTTCCTCCCCCTTCTCTTTTTCCTCTCCTCCTTTCTTTCTCTCCCCAACCCGGCAGATACCGAACTCCGTCCGAGCTCCACAACGACAACTTCTCCCTGTCCACCATTGCCGAGGGCTCCCACCCAAATGTAAGGAAATTTTGTGACACCCCGTGTAACCTCTCCCCTCATGCCCGTGCATTGGCTTACTATGATAACATTATCTGTCAGGTAACTTTGTCTTCTTCGCGTCTTCTTCCC